AACTACTCGAACTGTTGTTAGTCGAACCACAGGAGAAAATATTTCATTGAAATCAATACCTTCTTTTTGAGCATATCCTTTGACCACCAGTCTTGCAAGATACCTCTCAACTTGATCGTCATCATTTCGCTTGATTTTGAAGACCCATTTGTTACCAATTGGCTTCCTTCCTTGTGGTAGTGGCACAAGGTCCCATGTATTATTTTTATGAAGGGCTTTGATTTCTTCTTGCATCGCCATCATCCACAGTGAAGCATCTGAGCTGTTTATTGCCTCCTGGTATGGTGATGGCTCATCGTCCTCTGTTAAAAGGCAGTATACAATATTACCTTATATAACATAATATGAGTGCCAATTGGGACGTCTTCTCACACGATCTGATTGACGAGTTGTTGGAGCTTCAGAACTCTCTGGTTCTTGTTCATCATGTGCTGGTTCTTTTTCAGAAGAATCTCCTTCTTCAAACTCTTTTTCCACATGTATCTGAGTAGTCTCTGACTTTTCAGCACTATCATCGTCTTCTTTTCTTTGTAGTTTATCTTCTACAAAGATAACATCTCTACTAATGATCACTTTGCGGGTAGTGGGATCCCACAAGCGATACCCCTTTACTCCATCAGCATACCCCAAGAATTTGCATTTCCTGGATTTTGGATCCAACTTTGAAATTTCTTAGGAGTTATACATCACGTACACTATACTTCCAAATATATGGAGGTTTGAATAATCAGCTGGTTTTCCAGTCCACATCTCCATTGGTGTCTTCAGCTCTATTGCAGTTGATGGAGCTCGATTCACCAAATAACAGGCGGTATTGACTGCTTCTGCCCAGAATGATTTTTCTAGGCCTGCATCCCTCAACATTGCTCTTGTTCTTTCTAACAAGGTTCTGTTCATCTGCTCTGCCACTCCATTTTGTTGAGGAGTGTTCGCCACTGTGAATTGTCTTTTGATGCCTTCTTTCTTGCAAAAGTCATCAAATTCTTCACTTGTGTATTCTCCTCCATTATCTGTTCTGAAACACTTGATTTTATTTCCAGAATCAAGTTCCACCCGCGCTTTGAAGTTTTTGAAAGTTGAAAACACATCAGACTTCTTCTTAATAGGGTACACCCAACATCTCCTGGAGTAGTCATTAATAAATGAGACAAAATATTTTGCTCCGCCTAGGGATGTAACTGGTGCTTTCCATACGTCAGAGTGAACCAGTTCTAGAACACTTTTACCTCTAGAATTTGATGTGTTGAATTTCAACCGATGATGCTTACTTGTTATGCAATGCTCACATAAAGCAAGTGATGCCTTTGTTAAGCCTGGAAGTAGCTTTTGCTCCACAAGGACTTTCATTCCTTGTTCTGACATGTGTCCAAGTTTCTTATGCCATAACATTGCAGAATCTGAACTACATGAGGCAACAGAGGCTTCTGCTTCTAGCAATGTCTCTCCCTTCAGCATGTACAAGTTTGCAGCTATCTTTTCACATTTCAGCACCACAAGCGCTCCACGGAACACCTTCATGATTCCTTTCCGTGTTTCAATCTTGCTAGCATTATTATCCAACAATCCGTAGGATAATAAATTTTTCTTCAGACCTTTCACGTGCCGTACATCTCGAACAACTTTAATTGTTCCATTATACATCTTCAATTTGATGGTTCCCACGCCAACGATCTCTAAGGCATGATCATTGCAACTATACACAGATCCTCCTGAGACAGGTTCATAATGATGAAACCATTCTCTTCTTGAGGTCATGTGATATGTTGCTCCCGAATCAATGAGCCATATATCTGCAAATCGTTTTCTTCCTTCTACGGTGGTTGACGCTTCACAGCATAGAGCATCTCCATCATCTGAAGTGTTTGCGGCATTGCCTTGTGGATTGGAGTTTTTATTTAGACTCCAACAATCATTCTTCAAGTGACCCTTCTTTCCAAAGTTGTAACACTTTAAATTCTTCTTGCTTTTCGACTTCGATCTACCATGTTTGTGACTGCTGCTTTGGCCACGTTCTGTTGATCTCCCTCTCATCGTTGTCATCGTTGTCAATGCTTCTGCTTGTTGCAGATTTACTTGTCTGTCTTCCTTGTTCTTGCGCCGATTTTCTTCTTGTAGAACAGCAGCTGCAACGTCATCGAAGACTAGACTGGTGACATTACTGTTTGTCAAGTTGATGATGAGTTGATCATATGAATCCGGTAGACTTTGAAGTAGAAGTTCAGCACGTTCTTGTTCTCCTATTTTACAACTTAAGGATGTAAACTGAGAAAATAAAGTATTCAGTGTATTTAAGTGCTCCGTCATTGAAGTAGATTCTGGCATACGTTGAGTGTACAATTTTCTCTTAAGGAAAATTTTATTGTGCAGCGATGTGGCCTCGTACAATTTGGTGAGATGGTCTCATATCTCCTTAGTTGTATTCTTCTCCTCGATGCTTGACAATACTTCATCTGCTAATGCTAGATGAAAGTTTGCCATAACATTCCCGTCCATTTCGATCCATTTGTTGTCATCTGTGACATCCACTGGCCTTTCACTGATACTTGCTAGACAACCTTCTTTCCTCAAGATGGCCTTCATCTTCAATTTCCCACAATGAGAAATTTCTCCCAATGAATTTTTCAATATCAAATTTCGTTGCCATAGCTACTATTATTGATAGCTCCCACTATTTCACTATCATGAATAGTTCTTTAGAACCTCAAAGAATGGGTAATACCTTCTTATTTTCTTATGTTGGAGGATCCACCTTTTGGTGGCAACCACAAAGACAATAAGCAGATATTACACACTCAAATCTGGCTTGGATACCAATTGTTGCGGAAGACGGCTATCGGATAGAGCAAAATCGCAACTGATAATTTGAGAAAATAAAAATGAAGATAAAAGAGACACAAAATTTATGTGGAAAACCCCTAAAAATTTAGGGTAAAAACCACGGACAACGGTAGAAGAATTTCACTATGAGAAAATAGGAATTACAACCTCTCTCGATCTACCAAGGAGAAAACAATGATAATTCTCTCTAGATAAAAAGGAGAAAACAACTCTCAAGAAACTCTCTAAAATCTCTCTAGTATTGGAAGAAAGCTAGAATGCTTTGGGATGGTTTTGAAGCTAAATGAGCTAGGGTATTTATAGTTGAAGCTTTAAGGACTAATTTGTAAATACCCTAAATTACAATGACTAATTGCATAGTTTTACCATCCAAAATTTTCAACAATTTGGTGGCCAAATTTGACCAATTTTGCCACCCATTAATGCCACCAAATTGCCACCCATAATGTTGACAATTAATGCAATTTGGTGTGCCAATTTTCAACATTATTAATATATGATAAATATAAGGTATTACATATTTAAAGATAATTTTTTAACTATTTAATATTTAAATATTTATACTTTTAGTATTTTTGATGTTTGAACAAAATCTTTTAAAAAATAATTTTTTTTTTCTCCGAGATCATTTGTTTTTATGTCAACACACAAACACCTGTCCTTAAATATCAATTTGAGCACTTCCTAAATTGACACTTTTGCTTTATATCATTTTCTTGGGTTACGTTTATTTAGGTGGTGTTTGATTCGCTTGAATATTTTTGAGCGAATTGAAATCTGTGAAAGAATTAAAACCTGTCATGAATTGGAATCCAATTTCATATTCTGTTTGGTTGGCAGAAATTGAATTAGAATCCAATTCCATATTCTGTTTGGTTCGCAGACATGTCAGATGAATTTGATTTCAGTAATGTTAAATGACAGGATTACCCTTCTTGTTTTTTTTGCTTAATTTTAGTTTGTTTTATAAATTACATGTACCAATATATTATAAAAATTTAAAAATTTAAAAATTTAAAAATATTAAATTTTAATTTTATTTATTGATTATTCATTTTAATAAATTATAAAAATCATGCTAATAAATATCATAAGTTAAAATTATCCCAATTAGGGATGACCATGGGTCGGGTTGGGTCGGGTTTTTGGTCCACCCAACCCGAGAACAAGGGAACCTCCATCCGAGACCCGACCCGACCAAAATAAAGTTTCACCTGACCCGACCTGAATATATGAATTAGAAACTCGACCTGACCCGAAATAATAAAAAAATTATTTTTATTCAAAAAAACAGTGGCTTAATTGAAAAAAATTTATATATAGAGGGGTATTATTATAATTATTCCTAATATATAAGGTAAAATTATATATTTTTTCGGGTCGGGTCGGGTATTTTTCACCCTAAACCCGAACCGACCCGAATATCACACTTAAAAAAACCGACCTGACCCGACCAAAATAAAGTTTCACCTGACTCGACCCGACCCAAAATAATAAAAAAATTATTTTTATTCAATAAAAACAATGACTTAATTGAAAAAAATTATATATAGAGGGGTATTTTTGTAATTATTCCTAAATATATAAAGTAAAATTATATATATTTTTGGGTCGGGTATTTCTTACCCTAAACCCGAACTCGACCCGACCCGAAATAATAAAAAAATATTTTTATTCAATATATGAATAAGTTATCAAAAGATTAATGAGGATAGTATGTTCAAATTTCAATTCCCTCCAACAAGAAAATTGAATTCTATCATAGAATGGATGAAATTCACTTTCTCTCATTTAATGGAAAGTTGAAGTAATAAGGGATTCAACTCCCTTTGAAAATTTAAACCAAATATAAAAAATTAGTATAATTAGATTCTAATTCCAAGGGATTCCGCAACCTTAGTCTTTCTCTCATCATATTTTATATTTGTTGAAAGTGACACAGCTGTCGTTTCTTCAACCCTCTGCGTTTCTTCTTCCATTTGATCTCCGTTCGTTTTCTAAAAGTAATAATTTTGGTCGGTTGATCAATACGTTTGCGTGTCGCCTCGTAATAGGGTTTGCTTATAAAGAATCTAACTATTAGAACAAAGTATGATTTTTCAAAAGTCAAGGGACTAGACTATAAATCTTCTTTATTTTTTTTTTGGTTTATCTTCCTGTTGCTGATCCATGCTCATTGCATGATCGCTTCAGACTTTAGCTCACTGAAGCCGACACCTCATTTACCCGTTTCACTTCGGGTCTGTCTTCTTCCTGTTTCAAAGTCTATATGATGTTAAGTTCTTCAATTTTGTTTTCCTTTCCAAATTGATTTCATCTTCGTTCTTTGGGTTCGTTTCAGGTGAATTTTAGAGCATAATTTGGGGATCAATGGAGGTTGGTTTTGAGCCCAAGGTGTCAAATAATTCATCTTTAATGGAGAAGGGAAATGGGTAATTTGGGTACTTTTTATTCTTTCTGAAGCTTCTATTTACACCATCTTCATTTACATACGTACATACATACATATAGGATTAATCTTTTTGCTGTGATTTTGAAGGTGTTCTCACTACAGAAGAAGGTGCAATATCAGGGCTCCTTGTTGCGATGAGATATTCGACTCCAGACATTGTCATAATGAACCCAAGGTCCTTCCTTTTCTTCTCAATTCTCTTCAAGTTTTCCTTTTTAGTCGTTTCTAGTAATTCATCATGCAGAACAGCAATTTAATTTCGAAAAAAATGGTTTTTCTTTTTACAGAACTCGATGGAAGTTGGTCCTGTTGATCGTCACAATGTTCCTCGCCATTGACATAAAAAGGGCCAGATCTTGTTGTACTCCCTTTTTTGTTCATGTTTTTGTTGTTGTAATTTTGGACACTTTCCATTTTCTTCTGTGATCTTTAGCTGATATTGTTATATTCAATAACTCTTTTTTCAGGTTATTTGTTCCTTGTGTGACCTAGAAGAAGATGAAAGTATTTAACTATACATGCATTGCATTCTATCTTTATTTTTAATTTTATGACTGCCGGAGGTCTTCCACGGAAGTTGCTTTCAACCTTGCGTTGGCAGCCTACTATCATACCTCTCCTTATCCCATTGTATATGAGAATAGGGTTTTGTTGTTGTTGTTGTTGTTAGAATGAGAACAGCAGTAAATTTACTAACTTGGTCTGTTCTTTCTTATTTAAATTAGGTTCAACAGCATTGCATAAACTGTGGGGTTTGCATGGGAGAGTACTTTTGTTCGAAATGCAACTTTTTCGATGACGATGTTAGTGGTTTGCTTCAATTTTTTCATTCAATATAATGCAATTCGATGAATAAGCTTCCTTATAATGCACAACATTTTCTTTTCTTGAATTGCAAGGTCTCAAAAAATCAGTACCATTGCGATGAATGCGGTATCTGCAGGTTCGATTTTTGCTAAATCTACTTTTTTTATGTCTACATGCATATGATATCCATGTATTAACTTTGTTCGATATTGTAGAACCGGAGGTGCGGAGAATTTTTTCCATTGTGATAAATGCGGTAAGATTACCGACTTATCCTTCATTTTCTCTTGAAGGATCATTTTTGTTGTCTCCATCTTCAATCATTAATGTTTGGATTGAATCTGTCGAAGGATGTTGCTATTCTATGATGTTGAAGAACTCTCACAATTGTGTTGAAAAAGCTATGTATCATAATTGTGCCGTTTGCTTCGAGGTAAGTTTAAAAGGCCCATGGTTTCTCTAGAACTTTGCAAGTGTTGTATGCTTTTTTGAGCTGGTAATTTGTCGTTTTTCGTCTTGTCGTTTTAGTTTCTCTTTGATACGACAAAAGACATAACTGTCCTACCATGTAGCCACACAACACATTTGGAATGTGTAAAAGAGATGCAACGGCATTTACGGTAAGTCTTTTGAGCACACGTGCAACCCCGTGTCATGCTGTCATTTCGTATGTCATTCTTGATCAGCTGGTTTTTGATGGTGGTGTTGCAGGTATTCATGTCCTGTTTGCTCAAAATCATTTTGTGATATGTCCCGAACGTCGGAGAGACTTGACCGAGAGGTATGCATGGAATAGATCAACTTATATTTGTATTTAATGCCGTATGTAACGTTTCTGATTTAATCCATTTGCCAAAACGTTCTTGAAAACAAATTTCAGATTGCTTCAACAACGATGCCTCAGATTTATCAGAATAAGATGGTCAGTGAAATACTTAATTTGCAGATTTTAGCAGCTATCCTTGTTTAGTTTCCATGAGCTATTTTTCGATTAAAAACTATTTTACTTGTCCAGGTTTGGATTCTCTGTAATGACTGTGGGGAACATTCTTAGGTTAATTTCCATATCTTGGCACACAAGTGCCCGAAATGCAGATCATACAACACCAGGCCGACTCAAAAAAGAAGGAAACAACAACAACAACAACAACAACAAAGCAATCAATACTGGTTTTTTTACATTACCAACTTCTTGAGCAGAAACTGAAGTTGAGTAAGAGAGAAACAGAACTGAAAATATCAGAAAAACCGAAACAAAGTGGGGCTTTGTGTTCATCTTTTGAAGCAAAAATCAATATTTTTAAAAGCAATTTCGTGGGAAATGATGATATGAAGGGAAGATTATATAAGGTCTTGGGAGAAACCGAGTGAAAAAGTGAAATTTCATAGCATGTTTCTTTGATGCTTCAATGTATGAACAAACGTGATTAGAATACTCGGGGATTTATGGAAGGGACAAGTTTATGTTATTTGTTGTTTTGAATATCAAACATTATTTTTCCATTTTTGTTGGATAATTTGAGGTGGCTATACCTATACATATACCCATGTGTATACCATTTGAGAGGAAAGAAATTGCAAGTTATTCAAAGAGAAGACTATGGGAGCTACTACCCTCCTTTCTTCTGTTAAAGAGATGATTAAAATCAAATTGCAAGGTAGGAGTATGGATAAGGTCGATTATATTAATTGTTGTCTTTATAAAAGTTGTGATATCTTTTGTTGAGATCTCTGTTGTTTTTATGTAAACTGTAGCAGTTTTTACTGTTTCTTTAAGTAATATAAAGCAATTATCCAAAAAAAATATATAATTAAAAATCTATTTTTAGTGTTTTCCTCAATATTTCTAAGTTATAATTTCAAAAAAAATATGAATTTTTTAAAACATATGAATTTTTTAAAACATGCGAAGGTGCTCATCAGGTGTGTAGTCCGAAGTCCTTATATAATAAGGGTAAGTTTGGTTCACGGAATGTAAGATTATCAGTGAGAATAAAAGATTACCAGTGAGAATAAAAGATTACTGGCAATGTTGTATTTTGTGTTTGGTTCGTTCAGTATGAATGTAAGATTATCGTGTTTAGTTAAAGGAATAAAAGATTATTGAAATATATATTTTACCAAATTGTCCTTATTATATATTTATTTTTTTAACAAGTTGAATTTTACAATAAATATTACTATAATTAATTTATATATTTTCTTTAAAATTTATAAATTTATATAATTTTTTTACAAAATTAAAAAGATAAATAGGTTTAATAAAAGGGTAAAATTTTATTTTAACCCTTGAACTTCATATAAAATTCTAATTATAGATTTTTTTTTGTAAATCTAAAATAATTTAAGGATAAATTTGTAATTTAACATTCGTAGAATTTTTATTATTTAACGACAGAAGAAGAAGAATTTTGAAAAAAAAAATTCAATGGCATTTTAGTCCAAAATATCGGTAATCCAACAATACTTAAAGAAATGAATAATTACATTTATGGTAATATACAAAAAAAATTCACTGTTGATAATAAAAGATTATTGAGAATAAGATTACCGGCTAATCAAATGGAGGAATGAGAATTTCATTCCCGGTAATCCTTTATGGCGTGAACCAAACGGCCCTAAAGGCCTAGAGTCTATAGTTGTGGGAGCGGTGCATCGGAAGGGAAAAATTGTCAAAAGGCTAAGTCGAAAGGGAATAAAAGACAGAGGAAAGTTACGGGTGAAGAGCATGAGGAGTCTGTAGAAGCGATTACAGCCCTAGCTGTAGGTAAAGCACTAGGGTTTGAATTCAAAGCTTCAGATGCAGTTGTTGTGGAGAGACTCGCGTAATTGGAGGGAAGGTCTATGCGTTGAGGATGAGGTAAGTGGTCTTTCAGTGTGTGTGATAAAACAATTTAAACATGAATTTTGCAATTCTTGGAATGTAAAGGGGATATGTAGAGCGGAGAAGGTCAGATCAATGAATAGGTTATTTTTTTTAAGTGTATAGTGAAGATGGTTCTAATTCAAGAATCAAAATTTTTATTGTGACCGAAAGTCTCTTGAAGCGGATTAAAGGAAGAAATTTTAGTGAAATATCAGTTGTGTCGTCTGAGGGAGCGGTTGGTGGTCTGATCACGATGTGGAATAGTGATTTCTTTTGTGTCAAGAAGTCGATGGTGATGAATAGATTCCTAGCGTTGGAAGATTAAATGCCATGTTTAAATTTGAATATATTAGTGATAAATGTTTACGCCCCAAATGTATGCAGAGAAAGAGACGAACTTGAAGAATTTATCAAAGTGGGTTTGCCAGTTATTATTGGGGGGGGGGGGTTAATAATGTTAAAAAAAAAGATGAGAAAGTTGGGGTTGCTATTAATTCGAGATCAATGGAGATAACCTATTTTCGTCCGGGTACGAAATTTTTTACTTGGCGTGAAAAGTGATATGAATAAATGGTTTTTTAAAATGTTTAAGGAGTCGCCATTGACCTTTTTGGGTTAGGTAGGTCAAATACCTAAAAATAATCTTTTAAAAAAAGAGTTTTTAAGAAAACATCAGTTAAAAGATAAATTGATCTGCATTTTAACCAAAAATTCGTTCTTTTTAATAATAAAAAGAGATTCGTGGTCGATTACGTTTGGAGAAGGATTAGCACCCCCACAACGCTTAAAATTAGTACTTATTAATTATAAATTGTCTTTATCATTTAAAAATTTAAATATATTTAATTAATAATTCTGTTAAGTTTATTAATATATATATATATTATTAAACAATATATTTATTTATTTAGAAATATCAGAAAATGACTTTTAGGTGCTTTAAGACAGCTTATTTCTTAATATTAATAAATTTTAATAAAACATTTATCTAAAAATAATATAAAAGTAGATTTATATATTAAAATATTTATTTTTATCAGATAATGGACATCCAGTTGCTTTAAGACTGTCATTTCTTAACATTAATAAATATATATTAAAATATGATTAAAATTATTTAATATATTAAATTTATAAATAGTATTTTCATAAAATAAATATTATTTATATATATATATATTTATTTTATGCTAAATAAATATTATTTATATATATATTGACATAAATAATAAATAATAATAATAATAGTAATGATATGTATAAGAGAAAATAACCTCATTGATCAAAAATGCCTTATAATATACGATTTTAACCAACTTTTTTTTAGATTTGCCAAAATGACCAACTAAATCGCAATGCGATCGATAATTCGCAACGCGATCTCCGGTATCGCAAATCAGTTTTCAGATTCGCAACGCGAACTTCGACTATCGCAATGCGAACTTGGACTATCGCAATGCGAATATGTAATTCGCAATGCGATAGTCGACTATCGCAATGCGAACTTGGACTATCGCAATGCGAACTTGGACTATCGCAATGCGAATATGTAAATCGCAATGCGATAGTCGAAGTTCGCATTGCGATAGTCGAAGTTCGCATTGCGATAGTCGACTATCGCATTGCGATTTACATATTCGTATTGCGATAGTCGTGCGATAGTCGAAGTTCGCGTTGCGATTTATTCCAAATTCGTTGCGATAGTCCAAAATCGCAACGACTGGTGGTATTGCATTTGTTTCTTAAGAATTTTCTCTAAAAAGATAGTATTCGCGCGGACGTGTTGAAGATACGTATTACCACGACCACGACCCGACCCGACCTGACTCGAGACGGACGGCGGCGGCGCGCAAGAGTCCCCCTTGTTCTCTATCACTCAACAAGGAAGTGGGAAAGCCAAGCCTTAAATACCATTCCCAATAGTGTTTCCAATACTATGTGGGATTGAGCATTACCAACACTTGTTTCCAATACAATGTGATTATTCAGGAAACAATTAATAATCATGCACCTTAAAACAACTGAATCAACAACCAATTGCATTAGTATTATACGATTAAATATATCATAATTAAAAGTCAATCTACAATCAATCGCGATTATTGCAATTTTAAGCAAAACATTCAAAAATAATATCATTATTTAAGGCTCAATCCCACATAGTATTGGGAACAAGTGTTGGTAATGCTCAATCCCAAATAGTATTGGAAACACTATTGAGAATGGTATTTAAGGCTTGGCTTTCCCACTTCCTTGTTGAGTGATAGAGAACAATGGAGACTCTCGCGCGCCGCCGCCGCCGCCGTCTCGTCTCCTCTCGTCTCGGGTCGTGGTCGTGGTCGTGGTTGTGGTCGTGATCGTGGTCGTGGTCGTGGTCGTGGTCGTGGTAATACGTGTCTTCGACACGTCCGCGCGAATACTATCTTTTTAGAGAAAATTCTTAAGAAACAAATGCAATACCGTCGTTGCGATTTTGGACTATCGCAACGAACTTGGACTATCGCAACGAATTTGGGAATATCGCAACGAATTTGGGAATATCGCAACGAACTTGGAATAAATCGCAACGCGAACTTCGACTATCGCAACGAATTTGGAATAAATTGCAATGCGAACTTCAACTATCGCAACGAACTTGGAATAAATCGCAACGCGAACTTGGACTATCGCAACGAATTTGGAATAAATCGCAACGCGAACTTCGACTATCGCAACGAACTTGGAATAAATCGCAACGCGAACTTGGACTATCGCAATTCGAATATGTAAATCGCAATGCGATAGTCGAAGTTCACGTTGCGAATCTGGAAACTGATTTGCGATACCGGAGATCGCGTTGCGAATTATCGATCGCATTGCGATTTAGTTGGTCATTTTGGCAAATCCCAAAAAAGTTGGTTAAAATTGTATATTATAAGACATTTTTGGTCACTGAGGTTATTTTCTCTATATATAAATATAAGTATATAAAAGTAACATATGATTAAACAATGTTTAAAATAAATAAAATTAAAACATAGTATTAAAATATAAAAAGCAATAAAGCTTGTAAAATAAATGAAAATATTAAGCTTATGGACTAAATTATAATCTAATAAAATTAAATACCTAATTTGTAATTAATTTTTTAACTATAGGGATTAGACATGCTATTTTACCAATTTATTAATTTAGTGACTAAAATGAACTTGTATCAAATTCGAATATCAGATTAAAATAAATTAAAAACATGCAT